CTAATAAACTTATCTGGGGTCAGAGAACAGAACAGCCACTAGATACAGTGGCCAGAAAATGGTGGCACACACGCCTTTAATCCTAGCATTCCAGAGACAGAAATCCATCTGGATCTCTGTGAGTTCAAGGTCACATTGGAAACAGCCAGGCATGTGACACACGCCTTTAATCCCAGAAAGTGATGGCAGGAAGCAGAAAGGAATTTAAGGCGTGAGGACAAGGAACTAGTGCTGGTTAAGTTTTTAGGCTTTTGAGCAGCAGTTCAGCTGAGATTCATTCTGGATGAGGACTCAGAGGCTGCCAGTCTGAGGAAACAGGACCAGCTGAGGAACTGGCAAGGTGAGGTGGCTGTGGCTTGTTCTGCTTCTCTGATCTTCTAGAGTTGACCCTAGTACCTGGCTCTGGGTTTGTTTTTTATTAATAAGAACTTCTAAGATTCATGCTACACAGGCTTGCCTTGAACTCACAGAGCTCTGCCTGCCTACTGGGATTACCAGTGTGAACCACAAGTGCCAGGTTTGGAGACATTTTCTTAATTGAGGTTCCCTCTTCTCAGATGACTTTAGCTAGTGTCAAGTTGACATAAACTATCATAGTAAACATTATTGCTACTTTTAAAAACTTATTTTGTGTATGGGTGTTTTTCCTGCATGTATATCTGTCTGTATCTGTCTTCTTGGTGCCCAAAGAAGCCAGATGGAATTGGATCTCCTGGAACTGGAGTTACAGACAGTTGTGAGCTGCCATGTCGGTGCTGGGAATTGAACTCGGGTCCTCTGGAAGAGTAGCCAGTGCTCTTATCCACTGAGCCATCTCTCTCTCCAGGCCTGATGTTATTATCACCAGCATCATTTTATCTAATGGCTCATAAGCCCAACAGCAAGGTGGGATGAAGGCTGGCTTTAACCTGAAGTGATCTGGTCTATTAATAAGTGGGCTGACCTCACAAACAGAAACAGACAAAACCTCTCCCCGGGGTTCCATGTTAAATGGCTTCATTCATTTCCTGGCGTTTCTATGACATGTTTCCTCAAATTCAAAACAAATGTAATTGATTATATGTATCATCTCAGCCATGGATGGTAGAAATCCTAACCCCAGGTGTCTGTGGAGTCAGGCTTTCTCCTGTGGTTCCTGGCTCCTTCATTGTCCTGGCCAGATTCTGGTGCTGGCCAGCAGTCTCAATGGGCTTTGGCTGGCTTGTAGCTGACTCATCCCAATCCACCTCAGTCCCCACGTGGTACTTCCCTCCATACGTGTCTGTGTCTCTTTCCTATATGGATGCCTGCCATGTTGGAGAAGAATCTCTATTCAGTTATGACTCAACAGTTTAACTTGACAGGATCTCTATCTCAAAAGACTTTGTTTCCATATAAGAATACATTCATGAATACCAAAGGTTAGCACATCTTTCTGGGAGGCAAAAGTCACAAGATGATAAACAGAGGTCTAAATTAAAGTTTATGGTTTGGGAGAGGAGACAGTAAGCATCCCCAGAGCATGCTCTCTGCTTCCTCCTGTGTAATCTTGAAAGTGCAGATTTCACTAGTGACTAATTGGGACTCAGGGTCAGCCTCTTCTGTAGATGAAATTCTAAACTGTCTTATTAAATAAAAAACACAGAGCCAAATACAGAGTTAAAAGCCCAAGAGATCAGAGCACTATCGAATAGCCTTGAGCTTATCACTCACTGCTGTGCTTCCCCTCAGAAAGAGACCTCCTGTGTGACCTTTTTATTGTCTTTCTGTTCTACCTTCTCATTGGCTCTAAACCCAACCACATGATTTCCTGGTCACTGCCTGTCTATACAGACCTCCAGGTCTCTATGGTTCGTACTGGGATTAAATGTTTGGGTCACCCTTGCCTGTGTCCTTGACCACACAGAGACTCTGCCTGCCATGTTTAAGGGCGTGTGCCACCACTGATGCCAGACTTCTGCTAAATGGCTCACTTTTAGCTCTGACCCCCAGGCAACTTTATTTATTAACATACAAATAAAATCACATTTCAGCACAAATAAAATATCACCATAGGACAAGGTCAATATGACAAAAAGCCTACAGAATGGGAAAAGACCTTCACCAACCCCACATCTGACAGAGGGCTGATCTCCAAAGTATATAAAGAACTCAAGAAACTAGACTTCAAAATACCGAACAATCCAATTAAAAAATGGATTCTCAACAGAAGAATCTCAAATGGTTGAAAGACATTTAAAGAAATGCTCAACATCCTTAGTCATCAGAGAAATGCAAATCAAAACAACTCTGAGATATCACCTTACACCTGTCAGAATGGCTATGATCAAAAACACTAATGACAGTCTATGTTGGAGAGGATGTGGAGCAAAGGGAACACTCCTCCACTCTTGGTGGGAATGCAAACTTGTACAACCACTGTGGAAATCAGTATGGCGGTTTCTCAGAAAATTGGGAATTGATCTACCTCAAGACCCAGCCATACCACTCTTGGGCATATACCCAAGGAATGCTCAATCATACCACAAAGATACATGTTCAACTATGTTCATAGCAGCACTATTTGTAATAGCCAGAACCTGGAAACAACCTAGATTCCCATCAACTGAAGAATGGATTAAGAAAGACAATGTGGTACATATATACAATGGAGTACTACTCAGCAGAGAAAAATAATAACATCATGAAATTTGCAGGCAAATGGATGGAACTAGAAAATATCACCCTGAGTGAGGTAACCCAAACCCAGAAGGACAAACATGGAATGTACTCACTCATAAGTGGACACTAGGTATAAAGCAAAGGACAATCAGACTGCAACCCACAGATCCAGGGAGGCTACCTAGCAGGGGAGACCCTAGGATGACTGTGGCTTATAATAAGTTTTGGTTTTGCCCAATCACTGGGCAAGCTTTAGTGAAACATTTCACTATTAGGATAAGAATTTTTACTGTATCAAGCTGATGAAAGAAAATGCTGGCTGACTTTTAGGAGGGAGGCTAAAATATTTTTAGATTATGGATTAGCCTATAGAAAAATGTCTGTTGAAGATCAAACAGTGAAGGGGAAGATTGAATCTCACTTACACAACTTATGTAAAACACAGCTCTCTGAACAGAGGAAGATAGGTTTCTTCTGTATCCCAGAATCCAATCCATATTTATATGTATAATTCAGCTATCATTTGGCTTAAAAGGGCTTATTGGGAAATGTTATCATTTTTACTATTTTCTATAGAGAAAATATTTTCCAGTTTCAAATAACTCTGGACTTTGGAATTATAATCTGTTTTTATGTTAAAAAAAATTTAAGTGGAAAATGCTGAAGGACCACTTAACTCGATGTTGTATTTACATATCTATATCTGTATAAAATAATCATTATAAATGTTTGTTTAAAAAGGTGAAATGCAAGCCGGGCGGTGGTGGCGCACGCCTTTAATCCTAGCACTCGGGAGGCAGAGGCAGGAGGATCTCTGTGAGTTCCGAGGCCAGCCACAAAGTGAGTTCCAGGAAAGGCGCAAAACTACAGAGAAACCCTGTCTCGAAAAACCAAAAAAAAAAAAAAAAAAAAAAAAAAAAAAAAAAGGTGAAATGCAAATATGAATTTAACAAGGAGTTGTAAATTTTCAACACTGTACACAAACTTCTTTGTTACAATATTTATGCTTCATTAAAAAAAAAGAGAAAGAAAAAGGTGGTCCTTTGGAGACGGCTCAATGGGTTAAAAAAATGTGGGACCTTAGCCCACTTCAATCCCAGCACTCAGGAGGCAGGGGCAGGCAGAGCTCTGAGTTTGAGGTCAACCTGGAGTTCAGGACTGTTTTGGAGAGAAACTGTGTCTCAAAAATCCAAAAGAAGGAGTGGGGCCGGGGTGGCTTTTCGGAAGAAATTAAGGGGGGGGGGGGCTTCAAAAATGGGATTAGTTCTTAAGGTGTTGCTGGGGAATGCTTGTCTTTAAAGTCCGTTCACTCCTCCTAAGGCTACAGCTCTATGGTCTCCTGTTGGAAGCCCATGCAGACCCACTACTCAACAGAGTACTTCTCAGCCTCCAAAAGTGTGGGAAACAACTTTCTTCTGGGTATAAAATAACGAGTTATTGATATCTTGTTGAAGAGCTCAAAAGCTAAAAGACCCTCATGAGACAAGTCTTTACTTTCCCTTGTCTTTCCCTAGTCCCCTGGGGCTAGGCCTGCAGCTCACTATGGCGCCCCGGCTGGCCATGAAGTTTTTGAAAATCCACAGTAAGGTAACCTTTTAAATAAAACTTTAAAGTATTTAATTAGCTCTAACACATACATCCCGAGGGTAATTTGGGACCTCCTCCGGGAATTGCTCTAATTTTGTGGTTGGCATATATATGCTATGCATATATGCATAGTCTTTATGCGTGTGTATAAATACGTGTATTAAGTATGTATCCCCAGCTGGCCTCCAATTTACTACATAGACAAGGCTGACCTTGAACTGCTGATCCTCAGGCCTCCACCTTCCGAGGGGAACGATTATGTGCTTGTACCACCACCCACCACATTGGGTAGCAATGGGTAAACTCTCAGTGTTGACTAAGGAAACAACACGCGTGTCCCACTTACACCGGCCTTATTCTGCCTTTCAGGCAAGGCTCATCGTAAGTATTTTTTTTCTTTTTTTCGAGACAGGGTTTCTCTGTAGTTTGGGTGCCTGTCCTGGATCTCACTCTGTAGCCCAGACTGGCCTCGAACTCACAGAGATCTGCCTGGCTCTGCCTCCCAGTGCAGGGATAAAAGGCGTGCACCACCACTGTCCGGGATAAAAGGCGTGCGCCGCCACCGCTAACTCTTCAGTTTCCTTGTGAATCTTGCTGAGGTGGTAGTCGAGGAAAAACCTAAAGGTGGCCCGGAACTACCGGCTCTTGCTTACCGCGCAGTGGCGGAAGGAGCCGAGCGCGCTCGGCAGCACTCGCAGGCCCGCCTCGGCGACGTCGCCGGGGGGGCGGGGCTCACGCAGGCACGCTCGGCGCAGGGCATTGTGGGCAAGGCGGCCGGTGCTTGCCGCAGCTGCCATCTTAGGGACTCCGGGCCGGGCCTGGTAGGCCTTCCCGGCGGCGGCGGCCGTGTGCGCGGCGGGTGCGCTCAGGGGCGAGGCGGAGGGTCCGTGGGCGGGGGGCCGAGCGTCCCGGCGGCGAAGGGCGGCCTGCGGCGGGCAGCGGGTGACAGGCGGCGGGCGCCGCGCGGCGCGAGGATGGGCCGGTCGCGGAGCCGGAGCTCGTCCCGCTCCAAGCACACCAAGAGCTCCAAGCACAACAAGAAGCGCAGCCGCTCGCGCTCGCGCTCGCGGGACAAGGAGCGGGTGCGGAAGCGCTCCAAGTCCCGGGAGAGCAAACGGAACCGGCGGCGGGAGTCGCGCTCGCGCTCGCGCTCCACCAACGCGGCGGCGTCCCGGCGCGAGCGGGAGCGCGCCTCGTCCCCGCCCGACCGCATCGACATCTTCGGGCGCACGGTGAGCAAGCGCAGCAGCCTGGACGAGAAGCAGAAGCGGGAGGAGGAGGAGAAGAAGGCGGAGTTCGAGCGGCAGCGAAAAATGTGAGCGGGCCCGCCGGCGCGCGGCCGGGAGGCGCGGGGACGCGCGGGGGCGGCGGGGCCGGGAGGACCGGGGGCGGGGGGAGCGGAGGGAGAAGCCGCGGGGCGGGAGCGCCGGCCCGGAAGTCGGAGCGGAGGAGGGCGCGAGGCGGGAGGTTGGCGGGGCCGCGCACCGCCGGGCCCGAGGCGTTGGAGCGGAGGGCACCTGAGTGCGGGTCCTTCCGCCTCCGTGACCGAGCCGTAGGAGGACAGACGGACGCACAGACCTTCCCGCCAACGCCCGGGTCGCCGCGGTCCCCTCTCCTCTTTTTTTTTTGGTCCTGGCCTCAGCCCCTCTGAGTGAGCATGCTTGAACCTGCTCTTCCCCGCCTCAATGTTGGGCTGTCCCAGTTCTCCGGACCGAGTTTTCACGCAGAGTGAAGTCGGTTACCGTCAGGGGACTTAACTTGAAATTGGGCAGAGATCATGTGGTTTTGAGGCAGGCGCCTCTGGATGTAAAAAAAAAAAAAAAAAAAGTAGGTGTGGATCATCCAGCCAGGGTGAACTTTATGTACGACGCGTGTACTTTTAAAAGGTGTGCTCATCCCCCCCACCACCCTCCAACCACGTGGAACAATAGTGCTGAGCGTACGCGTGTGTGCTCCGAGTTTAGCCAGCCATCTTTTCAGAGTTCTTCGTGAAGACTGGAGACGTGTTAGGAAGCAGGAACTTTGGGTAGTTTTTGTACGCGGGCTTGTGTAGGGGTTTCTGTTTTCTGCGTGTGAGTTCGTGTTAGGCAGATTTTTCCAGAAGCAGTCCTTGGGAGGTAATGCTGTCGGTGGAACTGCCTTGGGCTGTCAGATTGTGTCTCAGTACACCTTGGCCACGTGGAATCTTGTTAGGGTGTGGAACCAGCCGGTAGCCTTGAAGATGTAGCTCTGACAACTCCCAGTAGGACATAGGAAAGTTACCTGTGACAATTGAGGTAATTCTCCATGTGAAAGCAGAGGAACCTTGATATGCTAATTAAAATCATTAGTACTCTCCACATGGGCAACCCAGGGTGAAATGATGGGCATAGAGCATTTGAGAAGGGACGGGGCTGGCAGCCACCTTATATGAAATTCTGTGTATATTAGACAGTTCTCTAGTGTGTCCTAGTCTTGCAGAGAGTACACCGAACATAGGTGATGGAGCCTTGGGAGTGAGGGAAGTAGTTGGTCTGTTTACAGATGCCTGTTAGCTTGTTTATTGAGCTAGCTGCTAGTATTTATTGAGCCTTTAATACGTGCCAGGAGCTGTGGTAGGTGCTGTTGATAGAAAGATGATTGGCTCCTTCTGAGATCTTGATGTAGCTCAGACAGATGATAGGTAATAATAAAGTAGTGTACCACCAGGAGTGGAGGGTAGGAGATGGTAAGACTCTCAGGCTACATACAGAGCGTATGTGGACCACAGGAGTAAGCTGTCTTCCTGAATCCCTGAGAGAAGAGAATGGAGAGGAGTCTTAAAGTTATTCACGGTGGTGTTGGCTCTAGGAGTGACTAGAGAGGTGACTAGAGGCTGGGGATTATAGATGGGCTCTTGTATGCATATGATTTAATCCATCTAGGATCAGGAAGTTCTGAGAAGGGAAATGCAATGGCACCCTTTAAAAGACCACTTATTGTTGAAAAGGATGCTTTGTAGGATGTCCACTAAGCAGCAGATAGGGTCAGGAGAGGGAGTGGGAGAGAGCAGTTAGAGTGGAAGAGGAACCGATAGCAGCGGTCGGTGTCTAGGGTGCATGCAGCTGAAAGTAGGACATGGAAAGACGGCATTGGCTGTTGTTTGGAGTGCCATCACTACAACTTGGCACTCCTAGGGTCTGGTTGTGTATAACTCAGCTGAGCTCACTAAGGTCGGTGATAGGACTTTACTTGTGTCTCTAAAACCTGGGGAATAGAAAGAATGCCCTGGGGACTGTGTAAAGAGCGACGAGCAGTTGGTTCCAAGGATTGAAAACCCCCAGGGAATGTGTATTTGCAGTAAAAAGCCCAAGGTGGAACAAGATGCTGCTAAAAGTACATGGGTGTGCAGTGTGTTTCATGGGGTCTGGGGTTAGCCGAGTGGAGACCAGTTAAGTCTGATAATTGAGACCGATTGCTTTCCTCTTTAAAATCTGAGGCCTTAAATCATCTGTGTATGTGAAATGGAGGTCCATTTTATTGTGAAGATTGGAGATGCTATCAAGTACTTAGTGTTTGGCCATAGAGTGTGTCAGTAAATGTTACTGAGTATAACTTAACATGCTTCCGGGCACAGCCTGCTGAATAACTTAGAGAGGAGTCCGGTAATTATTTTAATTCATTACAATAATTCAAAAAATGATGAAAAGGTAGGCCTTTACATTTATTCACATTTTTAAAGAGCTAATTTACATGGCTCCAAATTGAATCAGATCTCCTTGTGCTTGGGTCCCAGGCATGTCATGTGATTCCTCATCCCTGAATTGTACCAATATTAACATTCCTTAGGTATTCTTTTAAGTTGTATTAACTGCTGAAAAAAAATAGGTAGCTGGAACAACCTGTAGCAAGTCATATCATTGGCCTAGTAACTTCCTCCAGGCAGTGACATCTGAGATTTTATATCTTAGTGTTAACTGCATTACAAATCAGGAGCCTAAGAGTATCCAATATGAATTGGAATTCATATAAGTGATTCTTAGAAAAATAAATAGAGCTCATAGTGAGGGTAAAGAGCTTCATGACTGAATTTGCTCTGCAGAACTGTGTATTTCTGGAGCTTTAAGACAGTGGTGGATCGAGCACAAAGACCTGCAGTTGCTGAGAGTGTACTTTTTCAGTCACTTTGGTACTGGTTCTGTCCCCATCCTTTGTCCTGGAGAAACTGCAGAGTAGCAGGAGATTTAAGGCCATTAGCTTCAGGGTCTGTCAAAGGGTCATTCCTTCACTGCAGCATTCACTGTGGCCCAGTGTTTAGCACTTTTAGGTATAAAGTAATTAGTGTTTACTAGTAATTACTAAGCAATTCCTAGAAGTTCCACGAAGTGAGTTCCCTTGTTTTAAGGATGGATGTTTTAAACTATGGCATCAGCTTTGTATAGCAAGCCATGTCCTCACTGCACCCTCCCTGGTTTGTGTAGCCAGTTACCGTGGGCTCAGCAGAGAAAATGAGACAAACGAGATAGAGCCATGTCCCGTGTCCCCCCCCCCCCCCGCCCGCCCCCCCCCCATGTATTTAGGCTTAGATTTAAGAAGCTAGAGCCTTCTATCCCAGGGTGGCTCAGGAACCTGTAAGCAGGACATCCTGGCACTCACCCGAGAGAGAATTCTGTGTGATTCTTAAGATGATGACCAGAAGTGATTTGGTTCCCTCTTGAAGAAAGTTCATTGTTTTTAATGGAAGGGTTGGCCATGGTGTTGTTATTGGTTTCCTGTTAACTTTGGCCATCAGGGAAGGTGTACTGGTGCTTAAATCAGTAGTTGTCTATGTGCCTGTTGGTTTTCTGAATTGTATGTGGAAGGGGGACAAGATGACATGGTTGGGCCTCAAGGTTTTTGCTACAGATTGTAGAAACAGATTAAAAAATTGTCCCTGGATCCTGAAGATACCTTTTTAATAGTATTGAGAATAACAACCAAAATGATGTTCCTGTAAGGCTTGTAATAGTACAGCTGTGTGCCCAGATCTTGCCTGCCCCTCACTTAGGGTGCATAAATAAGGCTATTGGAGGCATCCTGGGCTGCCCTGCTGTTCTTCCAGGAGCAGAGGGAGATGATACGGGGCAGGCTGGGTCTCGTCCTGGAGTCTCTGCCTCACCTCTTCTCTCCCTTAGACTGCAAACCCCTGAGCTGCAGTTAGACACTTTACTCCTGTCATCTTCTCTTGGGTTGGTGTCACCACTGGGGTGAAGACTGCCAGAGCGGACAGTTAAGGCTGGTTTCTCTGGCTGTAGTAAGTAGAAAGATGAATTGGTTTGGCTCATTTCCCCGTTACTGTCTAAGTCTGTGGGTGACACTGCTGGCTAGCTGTTGCTATATTGATGGCTCGACTGCCTGACCCAAATCCTGAGTACTATGAGTCTCTTTCACTTTACTGGGTACCTCAAGTGAGAGCTTTGCTGCTGACTGATGAGCTTTCCTAGGGTCTTTTCTTATTTCCCTCCCTTTCTACTCACAGGAAGTCTCATTATCTCTTTTGTACTTAATGCTCTGTTCTGTCTGACACTGATAATTAAAAGTTAAGTTTTTGAAAATGTAAATGCTGAGTTTCTTGGGTGTTGCTGTATCTAACTGATTTTCCTAAAAAAAAATAGCTGAAAATTTCCCTTTGGGTGGATAGAAAACCATTCTGTATATAATTGCCATTGAATGGAGTTATCTGTTCAGTGTTGTCATGTTCATGGTAGGTAGTTTATCACTTTGGAGGTATCTGCTGTGTCTTACTAAGTGGCTGTTGACAAAGGCCTACTCTTTATTTGATGGGAATTTGGAAAGAAAGGGATGTGTTGAGTCTTAAGCTCTCATATACTGTTGGAACATTGTAGTTGGGAAGGAAGTATTAAAGATGCAGACAAGTCCTCACAGCATTGGAAATAGCTAGAACCTTGAGAAAAACCAAATTTACTGCCCTGTCTTTTGCCGTTTTGGTAGAAAGAAGTCAAGGATAAGTGTAGAAATGGAAACACAGATTGAGCTGAAAGTGAAAGCCCCTGGGTGGGAATTGAGTTGAAATGTCTTAGAGTGGTTAAAGGTCACACCAAACTAGAAGGTCTTTACTAAGCAAACCAGTTGATTGACCATAGATTCTAAAGATAAAAGTTACAGGTTTTGTTAATTTGATAGTTTGGGAGGAAGTATTAATAAATTGGCCTCTTTGAATTTAAATAAAGAACTTTTGAATTCATTCATTCTGCAGAAAATAATGCTTAGCCTGCTGCTAGGTAGAAACGTAATATGAGTGAAATGTACATCAATACTTTCTAGTACCAATATTTAAAGACCAGTGTAGTCTATCCAAAATACTGTCATTTAACATTTAACCAAATAAAATGAAAGAACATTTTAGGTTGGTAGCACTTTGATAAATGTTCTTAGACAAAATTTTGTTTCCAGTCAAAAAACTAATTGTGTCAATGAGATTAAAATGAGAACAGTAACATGCTTCGTTCAGCCTTGATAATACAATATAGTTTTAACTTTCTATCCTGTCAAATCTAGAACAACTTTTAAATAAAATCAAATATTAAACGGAGGGAAAGGGGGAGCTGGAGAGATGGCTCAGCAGTTAAGAGCACTGACTGTCTTCCAGTGGACCCAGGTTCAATTCCCAGCACCCACATGACTGCTCACAACTGTCTGTAACTCCAAGATCTGACACACTTTTGCACAGACATACATGCAGACAAAACACCAATGCACATAAAATAGAAATAAATTATTAAAAAATAAAAGGAGGAAAAGACACAACAGGATAAGTTCAGAACCCAGAGTAAAGCCAACAAAGCAACAGCGCCGTTGTCTGTTCTTTACTTGAGGAGGGAGGAGGTGAATGCACTTGTGCACCTCAGCCTTGGACAGCATGACTAAGTGCCTCACCAACTGGGTAACAGAAGTAGATTCCTGTTCATGTTGACAGTTCCTAAATAAACCTAATGAATTAGGTTCTTGTTACACACCAGCTTTGTGTATTGAGAGTGCATGTGCCCCCCCTTAAAGATTTCATATTCATTTGAATTTCTGTATTACTATCCTGACTGCTGTTCTTTGCTGAATGTGATGTGAGAGTACGCTATAAAATTAACGGATATAAGGAATCATACTTACTAAGTAGGCTTAAATTAATTTTAATTCTTAGGTTAAAATGTTGTCTTTTCTACTTTTATTTGCTAGTCGGCAGCAGGAAATAGAAGAAAAACTCATTGAGGAAGAAACAGCACGAAGAGTGGAAGAATTGGTAGCAAAGAGGGTAGAAGAAGAATTGGAGAAAAGGAAGGATGAAATTGAGCGAGAAGTCCTCCGAAGGGTGGAAGAGGCCAAACGCATCATGGAAAAGCAGTTGCTCGAAGAACTCGAGCGACAGAGACAAGCTGAGCTTGCAGCACAAAAAGCCAGAGAGGTAACGCTCGGTCGTTTGGAAAGTAGAGACAGTCCATGGCAAAACTTTCAGTGTCGGGTGTGCCTCCTGCTCAGTCCAGAACGAGATGGAATGCGACTACCTAGTCCTTTCTCATCTAAACATACGTGGCTGCGAAAGATAATTTTTTAGCCAGAAGTGCTGACTGGTACTTAAAAGTTACTTTCTTAAAACTTATTCAAGGATATTTTTTTTGATCTAACGGAACTGGCTTATGTATTTGAGAAGTGTTTGAAACTTTTGCCATGGCTGCAGGACTACATTCTTTTTTGGGAGGGTAGGGGGAAGCCAGGGAGTGGAAGAGGGAAAAGGCTAAAAAATCCACCGGCGGTTGCATCTTCTCTGCTGTTACCTCTCTGTTACCTAGACTGTGAGAGGCTTTTGCCTTCAGTCAGATAAAGAGCAGGGCCTGACGTGAGTGACAGCGCCTGCTTTTGATACATAGGTTTTCTCGCTCCTCTTTTTTTCCTTCTGTTCTCCCTCATCCCCTCCCTAAATCCTTTCAACACAGTGGACTAATTCTAGCATTTTGATTATAAGGCCCTCCATTTTCGTAATGTGTTTCAAGGAATCTTTTAAGGAAAAAATGTCCAGATTGTTCATCCTTTTTTTTTTCTTTCTTTTTTTTTTTTTTAAAGTACCTACTAACAACTCCTTTTTTTCTCTAGAGAGTTATGAAGGAACAGGTTGTCCTTGTCTGGAGTCAAGCTAAACACATGATTTGTTTTATCAGCAGCTGGAGCAGAAGTTGAAAATGTCTTTCTGTGAGACAGTAATTTGCTACTGAAGCTTTATGGCTTGTTTGCACTGATTACTCCAGGATCGTAAAGTGTGGCCAAAGTCACAGAAACACTCAAGGCAAACTGCTGCACAGCACTGAGTGTCCATCCACAGTTTGATAATGAACAAATGAATCCCATTGTGTGACACGGGAAATCTGTAGTTACATTTTCTTGAACATAAATTTATAACTATTCGGCTTCAATCATGACTTGCTGTCATTTCTCATCCTGGCGTTACTGTGGACAAGTTGACGTTGTGTTAAGTCTGCTTTCTAGTGAGCTTTGCTTGTACGGTGCACTCCCCATGTCCTGTCCTAACGACATAGACCATCTGTTGGTAGTTGGTTCACAGACTAAAATTCAGTGTATGGTATTTTTATTTATATCAGTGCCTTTAATAATGGAGATATTTTTGGAGTAATTGTGCTATCTTGTAGCGAGTTATTAATCATAGCAAGATTTTTTTCTCTTCATTTGCTTTTTGTTTCATATTAACATTTTTTTTTTAACACGGACACAATCCTCTGACAGTCTTTCCAAATACTAAAATCATTTGAGTATGTGTGCTGTGATCTGAACACTGCCCAAACCCATCAAGCAATCTTCATATAGTTTGCATTATAAAACTTCATTAAATTCTCCAAGAAAAAAAATGACAGAACTTTATTTCCTGACTGTGCATCCCCCGGATTCCTGAATTTCAGTGCAGATTGTAGATGACAATATAAGCTGCCTTTAGTGATTGTCAACATCTGATGTTAAGTCCATGCCCCATGGAAGCAGTCCTTAGTATGGATTACCATTTGTATTTTTCACTAACAGTAAATGTATTTTTCTTATTAATTGTTTGCCTTAGGAATGATGAATTACATTTTTTGTTCCTTCTTACCATAAACATCTGCATTCCTCAGCTCAGCCTTCCTTGTATGTTGTTTCTTTATAAATGGTTGAGCTGCTGATGCAGGTATTGCCAAGCTAACAGTACAAATCATTTTAAAGAGGAAGCTGGCGCGTATGGCAGCCGAGGAGCACACTCTGCAGGACACTGGACAAGACAGTAAATACTCAACTTTTAATGCTGATTAAAGGAGTATAGGTAAAGAATACGTAGGTATCCATAATTGGTGAGACAAATATTCACTTTATTTATATTTTATATATATTTTTAATTTGGTAAATACTATCCAGTTTTGTAGTTGTCCTTGTTGATTTGTGTGATATTAAAGTATTAGTAATAATTGCCAGGAGACTATTAGGGAGGGTTTAGTCGGTTGCTGTTTTGGACTGGGAGGGATGATTTAAATCTAGTGTTAGAAACCAATTTTTTAGTGGCTGCACAGTTTATCATTTGTCAGACAGAAAGGTAGCTGTACAGCTGCCCTGTAAGTCAGATCCAACAGAGTTGAGAGGAAGATTAGTAAATATTTGCTGGTAGAGCTAAACACTTTATTTTTCTAACGTCGTAACATGTCCTCCCCTTTAGGAGGAAGAGCGAGCAAAGCGTGAGGAACTGGAGCGGATATTAGAAGAAAATAACCGGAAAATCGCAGAAGCACAGGCCAAACTGGTGAGTGCTGTGTATTTGGGAGGCATCATGCAGGGTCTTCCAGATTGTGTGGATTTGTGCTGAGTAATTGGACTTTGAGGAGATTCTCAAGGCTACTTTAAGGATCTTGAGGTTGAGGTAAAAGTGGTAGAATTATAAAATTTTCAGTGGTTTAGAACATTTCCTAGGGGAGGTATACTTTCTCCTGTGTGTAGCGTCTTTAGTCTTGACCATACTCACATTTCTTAGGCCTGGAAATAACACCAGGGAAAAGGCAGAACACCCAACTTCTTCAGATAGCTGACACAGTAGCACCCCATTCCTAGACAGAAGGAAGACTCTACATTTGAGCAGTCTCCTGGGTCCCCTCCCCCACTCCCACCATAGATCTCGTATAACCTAGGCTGGCCTTGAGTTCCTGATCCTCCTGCCTCTACTTTCTCTATGCTGGAATTGCAGGTATACTCCATGGCAGCTCACACATTTATCTCTTATTTCTAACTTACAATCTAAACAGAAGTACAGAGACTAAACTAATTGTATCATAGAGCTGTGAAAGGTATAGGTCAGTTAAAAATATAGTCAGCCAACATAAGGAGAGACTATGACTATAAGTAGTTCAAGACCCCCAGACAGTAACCCATGCGTGTAGACAACCGGGAGAGGGTCTAAGAGAGTCTGATTTGATTGCAGTAGCAGTATCAAGACAGGAAAAGTATTTGATGCTAAGACTTGCTGTTTAGGAGGAAGAGCAAGTTGTGTCACTTAATTTCTCCTTAAAAACTGACTACTCAGAAGAACACAGAGGGTAGTTGGTCTTAGAGCATGGGTGGGTTAAGTGTATGTCCCACTGCAGGTAGAAGAAAGACAATCTAATTCAGGTTCGGAGGATTGAACTTTGAAAGGTAAATACAGTTTGTGATAGACAAACATTTCAGAAGAGAATATGACTGTGAACTAGGTCTATAAGGACACGGTAAAAGGATCGGATGGATGGCTGCGTTAGGTTTGACTTGTGGGTGCCTTGATACTCCTCACGTCGGTGTGGCTCTACCCATATCAGTTACTAGTTTACCCATATGAAGAGTACAGTTTTCTCTTTTGTGGGGGTGGGAGGCGGAAAGATGGTGATCACAATATAGAGGGACATTTCTCAAGCAGTGGTTAATGGCCAGCTTTTGTTTTTTATCCTGTTTTCCTCTCACCTCTACTTTGTAAAATGCTATTACATGAGTTGTAAGAAAATGAGGTCAGTTTTATGTAAGCCCTCTAGTGCTTTGTTTTTTTTAAAAAAAGCCTGGATATATGTATCCCATTTGTGGTCATTGCAGTAAAGTTGGGATCTTAAGACATGGCTGGTGTTGAAGAAAATGTTGTTTGTGGAAAGTGGAATGTCCTTTGTGAGTGAGTCAGAAGATTACTTGTATATGCAGATGATGGCTCTTTTGATGTTGTTGTTCCTCTCCCTTGCTCTTTGGTTTGAGTGCTGCTCTTCGTTTACTGAGAAATCTGATATAAAACATTGAAATTCAGTCAAATTAAGGACTAGTACAAGGGAAAGAGAAGCGATAGTATATTGTAGACACCACAATTTGCCCAGGTGCTGTGGTGCTTGCCTGGCTGAACCAGCAGTTGTATGTGCTGGATATTGTAATGAATATGTTTGTTCATAAGCTGTAGAAAACAAGAAATAGGGAACATTTTCCATGAGGAGTGGCCAAAGGTAACCATGCAACAAAATCTGTGTTGACAAAAGTCATTTAGAAAGTAGGTAAAGAATTATATTCTTGTAAATAATTTAACGTATTTATTGTATAGACTTGGATGATTCCAAGAAAAGTTAATAATATAGGAATGTTGAAGTGGTGTGGATGTTAGGGTATAATTGACCTAATTGTGATTGAGTGGGTACAAAGGCCTTCCAAGAGATGGCTCTTTGAATTAGGCCTCAGATAGAAGGCACATGAGAGTATGAAGAAATGAAATGGCCAAGGCCTTGAGGTGAGTTAGGGAACAGCGTGCATGTGGAATCGAGCCTCTGGGGCACTGGGGAAATACTAGTGGTGAGCGAACCTGGTGCATGGCAAGAAAGATGTGTTGGAGAGCAGAGACAGGCCAAGAGAGATGCCCTGAGGACATGGTGCGCCTGCTCCTTACAGTTCTCAAAGAATAGCAACAGAGAGTTGATAAATACCAGCTTCCGGATGAGAGCCCCGAAACATACGGAATTCTTGACATATGGCATGATAAATAGCTACTGTAATATAATGGAAAATAGGTCCTAACTTCTGTAGAAATCATTTTTCCCTCCCATTGAGGTCCAGTTCCAGTTAGTTTTCCATTCTTCAGGAAGTACCTGTGTTGAGAAAGACACAGTGTGATGAAAGCACTCCCGTGTGGTCCTGCGGAGTCAGATGGGAGTAGCAAGTTTCAGAAACTATCTGTGTAGACCCTGTACCTTAAATTCTGCTTCTGCAAATGTATTTTATACAATCTACTCATGTGAAACTCCCATTTGCACAGCATACTTTCTCTTACAGTCACTTAAGAGTGACAGCTGTCCAGCCAGGGGAGTTTTTTGCAGACCAAGAACTTCTGAACAGGAGACATGATGAACAAAATAGCCAGATAAAAACTGTTGTCCATTAGAGGTGGACATTTACTCACCTTATAAGTCAGTGAGTTAAAAATCATTATCTTTAGCTAGTATTTCCAGTATAACTTTACACCTTTCTTCAGTGTATACGTGGTTTATAAGGGTGGATGCTACATTCCGTTTTTATGGCCGTGTAAAGAAAGCCAGCAAAGCTGGGCACTGAAGTCGTCCTCTGACTCACTCACTTCAGTGGCCCTGTCAGGATAACAGCTAAACACGGAGCCGAGTGCGGACTGACAAGGAAGATCGGGTCAGTGAGAGTGTGTGAAGGTCACTGTTAACTCTGTGCATAGCTCTTGCTCATATCTGTTCCAAATGATGTGTCAAGATATGTTTCTCTCTAAGATGACCGAACAGTTAACACATACAAATTTGATTGTAAAATCACATAAGCCACATGTGGCCTGGCTTCATTGAGAAGATACACTCCTAGTTTTTAAACTTGAATTGACAACCAAGTGCCTTAAAATAGTTGAAGAATTACTAATGCAGAATTTTAGTTTCCTCTTCGTTGTGTTTGTGATGTGTATGCACATGTGCTGGCCTATGTGTGCACACACATGGGGGACCTCAAGTTGGTGTCCAGTGTTTCCCTCAGTCACTTTCACTCTTTTTTTTTTTTTTGAGATGTAGTTTCACTGAACCTGGATAGCATTTCAGCAGACTGACTGGCTCTTGGGATCCACCTGTCTCCGCCCTCACTCTGTTTGAGTTCACAAGTTGCAGGTGTATGCATCCCAACAGGACCCACTTTTACATGGATACTAGAGATCTGGACTCCAGTCCTAATGCTGCCAGCCAGTACCTTACCACACTGAGCCCAGCCCATTTACTTGTTTTAAAGAAGCACTTAATTTTTGAGGGTGTTTTCTCCAGGTTTTGTATGCTGTGCCTTTGAAAATGTCAGGTATTGTGTAGAAGTATATGAATCATGAAAAGGAAGCAGAATTTTGTGTTTCGGTTTTGGTCATTTTGAGTTGGGTCTGGGCTTTGTAGTCCAGGCTTCCTTAGTACTCCTGGTAACCCTTCTGCTCTACCTCCCATATGCAGTGTTACAGGCATGTTGCCACCAGTAGAGTTTAGATAATGCTGTGGAGGGATGTGTTCTGACTAGTTACCAGTAAAAAGCACAGCCTCCACCTATGTCCTGCCTAGTGTCCATGCAGTGTAGAGATTCACCTGAGCCATCTCAAGATCACTGGAACTAGGAGTCATTATTAGGAGATGGATGGATTTTGAGTAGGTGGGTGTTCAAGGTGTGAAGGCAGTGCAAAGTGCAAGTTGACAGATACGTCTAATATTGAAATAGGTCACCACTTACATGTGAGTTTTATCACTGAGAGATTAAAAATGCCCCGTGTGAAAGTTAAAAGGTGCATACTTAAGTACAAATTAGTGGACAGTTTGCAGTGAAGAGATAGTTCTGAAAAGAGTTCTAAGGAAATTGTAGGGGGGTTGTTGTTTTTAAGTACACTTGGTGTAGTAGACTGAGCAGTTTACTCCCCCTGCCCCCAGTTCCTAGAATTTTCAGCTGTTGCTTTATATGGTCAAAAAAGTGAGGAGTGCTCTTTTGCAGGTATGATTGAGTTGTCTTGAGAAGGAGACTTTAATCTCATTTATCTGTTGTGTATCATCATTACATGTGTCCTTTTAAGAGTAAGATAGAGGGAGATTTTTCTTAACTTCATAACATAAATCAGAGAAGCTCAAGTAAGAACAGAGCAGAATGAGATTTCAAATGTTTGTTTCCCCAGGCATGGGGGTGTACATCTTTAATCCTAGCACGAGTGGAGGTTAGCCTGGTGTACATAGCACATTCCAGGACAGCCAGAACTGTGTATGAGAGAGACCTTGTCTCAAAGGGAAGATTGATTGTGGTCAGAAGACGCACTCCGTGGAGGCACCTGAAGCCAGCAGTATTCAAGGGAGCCGAGCCCTGCTACTGCGCTGAGTTCAGACTTTTAGGCTCCAGAATAAAGTTTTGCTTTGAGCTTCCTTAGTGATCATGGGTTTGAAATTGAGCAGAAACTGGAAGATGTTGAGGCACGTGACAGAAAATATATCGTTAAATACATAATTAAAACTTCAGGAATGTGGATTATTTTCGGGTGCTTCTTTAGCATTCAGAAGCACATTAAAACATGTTGTTTGAATGTGGAGGGAAGATGATCCATAGCTAGCCAAGTTCTGCCCTGCTGCTGTGTGAAAGGTAGGACTCAAGGATTCTAATCAAGTGTAGGACTTCTCAGTCTCTGTAATGAAACAGCAAAGAGGCTGAAGAATAAAATCAATTTAAAAGGAGCTAGCACACTTGGTTATTTAGATTGCAGAAGATAATCACAGAAGGGCCTGGAAGAGTTGGCTC